TGATTTATTTATTTATTTAATACAAAATCTACAGCTCTTAAAAAATAACTTACATGCTGTCTCTTATAAATACAACCAATAGCGGATTTTAATTATATAAACAAAAATTATAAGTCTAAATTAAGTAAGGCAAGTTAGAGTGCGTGTATGTCATAGAAACTATAACAACGAGGTACAATGAAGTCGGTTGATTCTTATATAAATTAGATAAAATTTATGTTGTTGCAGTTCAGACATTGATTTTTAAGTAGAATTCTGGCTACATCTCAACCTTTTACCTTCTGGTGGTTTTATATTACTGTTCTTTTAATGCGGTGAAATTGGAGTGACAAGTCCGTCTGCGCCAGGGTATTGATAGAACAAACGGAGTTACTCTATTTTTGCATTATATGTTTACATTATTAAAGATACAGTTCAGGTCAGTTGGCCCATTGGGATGAATTTATTAGGAATTATTACGATGGTTTCCGGGCGTGACCACATGATGGACGATCTGATTAGGTATATTGCCAGCAATAAGGACTAACCTCCTCATTACTGTCAATTCCTCTCCCCTTTTACATTAGCGTATCAGTAATATTTGTCTTGTTATCTTACCACTGCTATTTTGAGAAGGGAATGATAGTAAAGGAGACTACTCCATTGCCAGCTACTTTGTGAATTCGACTTCCATATGTTTCTCCCTGGAAATTGTCATGTTTAATTTTTCACTTATCACCTCTCTTGTCTCCCGCCAGCATATATAGATGGCGCAAATGAGGTTTTTTATTGGGTGAAAATAGAATGGTAATCTCGCCTGCGCTATCGGTATATCCTGGTGGGGTACCAGTGAAGAGTGATAGGTGAAGATAAAAACAGGTTATTTAGCCTATGGTGACGAATTTTTCAGAAGGAATCACGTGGAACTCTACCTGATAAGGTACACTGCTATTGATAAAATCTTGTGTTTCTATTATTAACAATCCTCTGAACATTCTATAGTTTTCTTTCAGCTTCTCTAAGGTTTCTAAGGTCTGACTGTAAGAGGTCATTCTTTAATCTTTTAATGTGTCTAATATAAATTATGTACAATAAAGATTTTACAATTACAATTTTACAATCCCTTTCCCCTGTGCAGGCGTGGTTACCATTCTATTAATATCTACAAAAAACAAATTCTATTATACGTGTGATGATGCTCTTTGAGTTGTTGTAGTATCATATTGGGGAACGTATAAGTATTGAAACACTTTAAGCTCTCACATTTCTAGCACCTATTAGTCACATTTACTGTTAACCCTATACCGGCGTCTCGGCGCTCCGTGCCAGGGGAATGAGGCAACAATACGTCGCTGCACAGCGCCGCCGTCAAATTGGAACGAGCTTTTTAAACAGAGAACATTGTGATTTTCAAGTGACCTAAATTACTGAAGCATCTCAACCTCCTGTTTCTATACATTATTATATTTAAGTTTTATGATTGGAATATGGCTGCCGAGTCTTAATTACTAAGAAACCGTACTTTTCATATTTGTATAGATATAATATAAATAAAATATAAAAAAATTCAGTGTTGGACATTGGTATTTTTAAATGGATGGAAATAGAATAGGTCAGTCCGTCTGCGCTATGGGTATACATTTATGGAGCATCAGTGAAAGGTATTACGAAGAATGAAGTAAGGCCAAAGTTGGCTTATTATGATGAATTTAACAGTTTCCAGAGAAGATCGTGTAGGGATAGATCTTACAGGGTATACAGCTCGGGTTGGGTCCCTTCAAGTAACAATCCCTCTTCTACGCTCGTAATTTTTAAAAAATAAATGGACCTGCGTTCAAAATTTTGGCCACGTAATATAATTCGAAAATAGAGAAATATTTTCAAGAGCTTTAATATCAATCTCTTAGTTGTCGATAATTTCCAGAATTTCCTGCAAACTTCAAGTTACTTTGATTCCTTATATATGTTTTATTAATCATACGCCGCCTTGGTCCTTTAAACCGGATTCGAAGTAGCGATGAATTGATCTCTCGTAAGTCACTATTTTGGGTGACTTCTTTTTTTTGTGTTTTAAGTTATAGTTATTGATATTTACTAATAATAATAATAAAGGAATTGTCTTGTTTCAAAGAAAAAAATCTAGAAAGCTAGGATTTTTTAATGGAACATGGAATGGCAAATAAGTTGTCGGTTCATCTCATGAAAAGTTATTACATTGACCTACAGACATGAGCGTTGAGTTTCATACAGAATGTAAGTTGAGTTTCTTGCGGACTCTTCGCAACAGATAAATTTTCCCGAACCCTGCATTTATAAAAAATGACGATTTAAAAGTGTTTGTAAACAAGTTTATTTGAACAAAGATGATACGATTTAGAATTTGAACAGCTGTACCACGGATTTCACGGAGCGCACTGGGAGGCCCAAAAAGGGACGAAAAAACAAATGTTCTTAACGAGCGAATCACTACGAGACCTTGGCGATTTTCGTTGTGAGCTATTAATAAGACCTGCACAGTGTTGACGACCTCCGTGGCGCGGTGGTAGGCATATTGTTTTGAGTAACGAGTCCCGAGTTCTATTCCTGGTCGGTTCAATTTAGGAAACAAACCATTCTGAATTGGCTCGAGTCTGGGTGTTCTGATCAATTTTGCAACCAGATATTTGTGTGATTTTCATAATACAGGATATTTTTGCTTGAGGTTCAGGCGATTGGTGTGTTAATGTTACATTTAATGTGTTTATTTATTGAAAATTTAATGCACAATTAAATTGTATGCACATTTGGCGGACTTAACACTGGACGGCGTTCTCTACCAGTCAACCATTGAGCAAACAGAGAAATAAGTAGGCGATGCATTATTTAATTGTGTGTTTTGTGAAATAGCTACAAGTATAGGGTTTTCGTATTTTTTTCTTTACTTGTGCTCCACGACATTGCTTCTTACCAAATTTCGTGATTCTAGGTCAAAGGAAAGTACTCTATAGGTTTTGATTTGATTATTTTAATTATTATTATATAATATATATATATATATATATATATATATTATTTTAATTATTATTTTCACGTACAATAAAAAATGGATTAAAGCTGAAAATCAGTGTTTTGTTCCTTGAACAATGTTCCACGCTGAGCTTCGACCTTTTTGTATTGCTACAGATCACACATAATAACACAATTTTATAAATCTTATGTTAATTTATGTATTATCTATTCTTATGAACATGTTGTGTGTGATTAGTAACAAACAAATAAACGATATATCTATCTATCTACATAAAAGGAACATAAACGGCCATATCTTTTGAGTGCGTCGATTTAGAAGCTTGATTATTTTACTGCTTTAAGAGATTGCAGACCTGAGTATTATGATATTAATTTCAACTTGATGCCTCCGCGCGTTCCTAAGAAAAAGGGTCTTAACAGACAGACAGATGGACGACGAAGTAATCCTATAAGGGTTTGGTTTTTTTCTTTTGGAGGTACGGAACCACCACCAGAGGGAGACTTTGTACAAAAGTCTATTACTTGGGTACCTCTGTCCCATTCGTGTTTCAACCGTGAAGCAGCTGTGTTTGCGTGGCTGTGTTTCGGTTTGAAGGGTGGGATATGGCGTGAATTTACAGGGTACAAAGAAATAACACCTGAGTCCTCAGGAATGGCAACGCATGGGGGGTATCATGGGCGAAACAGTATACTCTGTTATGTCCATGGTACTGCTCATGTCTATAGGCGACGGTTACCACTTTCCATCAGGTGGACCGTCAGCTTGTTTGCCATTCTAAGTTGTATAAAAAAAAAAAAAGGTACGGAACCCTAAAAAAGGAATATACATTTATTTTACTATTATTTTCTATACCTACTGGGCAACGTCGTTTACCTACTTTGTACGAACAACTATTAACAAGATCAAATTCCAATTACGTTCTAGACCGCCCAGTATAACACACCGCAGCGGGAGATACGCGCAAATAAATGGAACAAATTGGCGACCACGTATTTGTAGTGCGTTTCATTGTTTCACGACGCGGTGACAGCTTGACTGCGGCGTGGACTCTCCGAGATCGAACTTTACTTGTTTTTTATTGAAATTCTTGTGTCTATCATTTAGAGATTAATGTGTTTTTCTTTATATACTAGTTTTAACCCGCAACTTGGTCCGTGTGACCAGGATATATCCCTATATCCTTCCCATATTTCTCTCTCTTTTCATTTAAGAGTTTCCTCTTGTCGGTGCAACTAATTCATGCATCTTCTTCCAGCCAGCTCTATCCCAGGCCATATCCTTGACCTCCCTATACGACATGACACCTAGTGTTTCCTTTATCTGTCACATGTAGTTATTCCTCGGCCTTCCTCTTCCTCTTTTGCCCTCTATTTTATAATAAAGCGTAATTAATTTGATTGTACGAATTGAGTTGTCAATTTACGCGTCTCATAAATAGTTCCAATAAAGTGTTCGTCTAACAACTTGTATATATGTATTAATTTAAATAAATATAATATTGAAATAATAGACAGCACTTTAAAATCACTTCAAAACCATATAAAACGACATTATTCACTGAAAGTGTCTTAGGTATGGCAGCTAGAATATATAATAAATTACCTTAATCTCTCACAGACATAGGTGACATAAGAAATTACAAAACTAAACTGTTTGAATACTTAGTAAACAGAACATATTGTTCAATTGACGATTTCCTTTGAGATAAATGCAATAAATTTCCTTAATATTATGATTATTTTTTTTTACTGTAAATGTGACATTATTGGTTTTCTTTGTTTTTTTTTTATCTTCTTATATACAGGGTGTCCGGTAATGAATGGATAACCTTGAAACGTCTTATAGTTCAACTTATGGCCGTCGTAAAAAAATTTTTATGTTATCCATTCATTACCGGACACCCTGTATATATGTTTATGCATTTTTATACCTCGATAGATGAGGCTGATCATAGAGGACTTATCCTGTTTTACCATTGTTTCCTATGTATCACAAAACCCTTGTTTCGCAGGATGGCCGCTTGCGCAGCGGGGATATGCTCCTGCGCATCGGCGCCGTGTCGGTGGTGGGCATGTGTGCGCGGCAAGCGGCCGCCGTGCTGCGACAGTGCGGCGTGTGCGTGCGACTGCTTGTCGCACGACCGGCGCAGTCGAACGCGATACCCCCCTCGTTGCAGGTATGTAAAAAGATGCCATGATACACAGACGTGATATATTAATCATAAAAAATATTGTAATATTTAAAATCCGGGGGAAAATTAACTATTACATTGTTATTAAATGGGGTTTAATAGCCTTTTTGCTAGCAATATACCCCTATCAGGTCGACCTCCACGCGGTTCCCACTGGAAACTATCGTGACTAATTTATCGTTGAATTCGCCACGATGGGCTAACTGACCTGCCTTTTCATCTTCACCTATCACCTCTCACTGGTACCCTGCCAGTGTATACCGATAGCGCAGGAGGGGCTACCATGCCATTTTCACCTATTAAAAAAAATTGTTAAAATCCATTTTAACTATTATAATATTTTGTCACTGTCTTTCAAATTGAGAAATTAGCGTAAAAGAAAAGGACATACCATGGTTAGATTTGATTTATTTATTTGCCAAAAACATTGTTTTTGATCTATTATGAAGTACGTACTGATAATTCAAAGTAAAAGGTAGTTGCGTGGAGTAAAAAAAATATGGTTTAATATTAATATAATGGGGTGCGTGTGTGCGTGTGTGGGTATATGTGTGTGCGTGCGTGTGTATGTGTGCGTGTGTATGTATGTGTGTGTGTGCATGTGTGTGTGTGTGCATGCGTGTGTGTGTGCATGCGCGCACGCGTGCGCGCGCATGTGCATGCGTTTGTGTGTATATATTGTATTCGAATTATATTACAAATACATTTCCATTATCTTATATTTCTTTTATCCAATTTTATTGTGTATTTTATGACAAATGCTCGCCTTATATTCTAAAGCATGCAAAATTATTATTGGGTACAAGATATATTACATTTAATACATACATATGTGACTTAACATTACATCAACTATTTATGCAACAGTTAAAGTAGGTTTATAAGGGGTATGACGTTTTTATGAAAGAAGGTAAGAGTTTCATGTAATGTTTCAGGGAGACTTTGTACAAAAGTCGATTGCTTGGGTACCTCTGTCCCATTCGTGTTTCTACCGTGTTAAATAGTTGTGTTTGCATGGCTGTGTTTCGGTTTAAAGGATTGGATATGGCAGTGAATTTACAGGGTACAGAGGAATAACATCAGAGTCATCAGAAATGGCAACGCATGGGGGTAATCATGGGCGAAACAGTATACTCTGTTATGTCCATGGTACTGCTCATGTTTATAGGGACGGTTACCACTTTCCATCAGGTGGGCCGTCAGCTTGTTTGCCATTTTAAGTTGTATAAAAAAAAACATCGTCTTAAACATGGTACAAATTGATGGCCCGCCTAATAGAAAGTATCAACCGTCGCCTATAAGCATGGTTATCACAGAAGGTACTGGAACATACATATACAAATTAATGATAGGTCTAAGGTGTTATATCTGTCTGTACTTGGTTAGGTCTTGTTTGTGTGTGTATTTACATGTGTGTGATGCGTGCGTGCGTGCGTGCGTGTGTCTTAGTTAGTTTAAAATTCTAGTCTCGTCCCGTCGTTTTGCGGAGAAAAATGTACATACCAGAGTGAGACTTTATACAAAAGTCGATTGCTTGGGTACTTCTGTCCCATTCGTGTTTCTACCGTGAAGCAGTTGTGTTTGCCTGGCTGTGTTTCGGTTTAAAGGATTGGATATGGCAGTGAATTTACAGGGTACAGAGGAATAACACCTGAGTCCTCAGGAATGGAAACGTATGGGGGGTATCATGGGCGAAACAGTATACTCTGTTATGTCCATGGTACTGCTCATGTCTATAGGCGACGGTTATCACTTTCCATCAGGTGGGCTGTAAGCTTATTTGCCATTCTAAGTTGCATAAAAAAATCTAATCGAGTAAAGTAGTAGAGATATGTTCGAGCGCACGTCTGACGGCCAGAAAGGTCTGTACTTGGGCTTCCCTCACCTTATATAGTTCCGGTGATAGGTGAAAGGGTAACAAAGTAGTGAGATATCGCTAACAATATATTATTTCTTGAGTAAGAAATTCTAACTTTAATATTATATTTTAATATTCAATTTGTCTACTACTAGCGGCCCGTCCCGGCTTCGCACGGGTGGATGGTGAATTTTTACAACATTTTAAAAAGTTGTTATTGTGACATAATGATAAAAGTTGGACATATAATATTGCGAAGTTTTTTGTAGTTATTGATATTTTCTTCAATATTGTAGCTTTTGGCCACAACAGAATATCAGTGTTTTGCTCTTTTTAGGGCAAAAAAGCTGAGTTGTGCCCATTTTGTATTACTGTGGCACACGCATGAAGAAAAAAAAATTACACTAATTTTATGCATTCTGATTTTGTTTTTGATTTTTTTTTAATCTTTTGTACATGTATCTTTTTTTTTATCTTTTTTCACTTTGCATTTGTGTCTTTTGCTGTTTGTGTGCTGTAAGTGATGCAAATAAATTATCTATCTATCTTATAGCAAGTAGGTATATATTGTCTTCGCAGCGCACGCGACGAAAGATATTTTACAGCATTTTTTTACACCTTGAGTTACTAAAACTTTAGTAAGGATCCCTAGTCTTTTCTAGCAATAAATATAGCCTATGTTACTCAGGATGAATGTAGCTTTCTAATGGTGAAAGAATCTTTGAAATCGGCAAAGTAGTTTTTGTGTTTATTCATTACAAACATACATACACACAAAAATACAAATCTTTCCTCTTTATAATATTAGTGTAGGTGTGATAATACGAGGGCGGTGAAGCTGTGTTAGTAACCCTCCCGGGTTATCCACGCCTCAATTCCGGCACACGGATATCCTCTATATATATACCCGGTTAAGCACTTGATGTTTTGCTATGTTGAACTCTATATATGTACGTGAGGCGCTTTAAAACACATTATGACAATATATTCCGCTTTCAGCAGTCCAATACAGATGTATTATTGACTAGCATTCGCCCGTGACTCCCTATGCATGTATTTAAATTTTCTTTAGATAAGTAAACGTTAGAGAAAAAAATCTTTAAAATAGATTTCGTATAATAATAATAATTTTTATTTCGGATTTTTTTGGTTCATTAAATATTTATTAGTAACAAAATTCTTAAAACTAATGTCAGTAAATTTACATACACAATACACGCACACGCACACGCACACGCACACGCACACGCACACGCACACGCACACGCACACGCACACGCACACACACAATATATTAAATAATATACAGATAATCACCGCTGCACAATTCCATTGGAAATTGCGCAGCAGTGATTAACGTACACACAGTGCAGCCTGCTCGCTATCATACTCAAGATGCTGTTAGTGCTGGCACGTACTCTGCGCACCAGGGATGCACACCTTTTTCGCATCGTGGCATAAAAACAATGGTATAAACATAGTACACGTGGTATAAACATAATATATATATATATATATATATATATATATATATATATATATATATATATATATATTAAAAAACAAATAATAATTAAGGTAAATTTTCATTCCTATTATTTTTATTATTATTAAAGTTTAAACTAGTAAATGAATAATAGAAATCGGTTTATTTATTTTATCGATTTTGGTTTCATATTGATATTAAACTCAAGAGTAGACCTTCTGTTTATTTTTTAGTTTAGACTTCAATTGAGCAGAAAACGGTGGACGCTTTTTATTTTGTACACTATTGTTTTTTTTTGTTTGTTTTGTTCTTGTTTTGTATTTGAGTCGCATGATTCTTTGTGTTCATGATAGTTTACTAGTATTCTTATTACAAGATTACTCTACTCTTCTTTCTCTCTTTATATGTCAAATTTAACAATGACTGGCTGAGTTGTTTAGACATAAAGAGGTCATCTTATTTTTACTAAGTCCTTCTTTCTTTAAGAACTAATTATGACTCTGTAAAGCAGCCGCTTTAAATGCACATTTCGTGCGCGCCGATTTCATTTAGAGTGTAACAAAATTCGTCTACAATTAAAGTAAAATAGTGGATTAGAATTAAGAAACTTTAACTAACTGAGCTTTGTATTGGTGATTGGAGGGGATTTAGAAGTACAGTCAATTGCGTGGCGACCCATTTTCAGCGGAATTCAAAAGCAGGAAGTTCTCGGTTACTTTAGTTTTGTTTCTATTAAGTAGCTAACTGTGAGATATTTTCGACAATTCCACGTCGATATCGACGACGCCTTTTGCAATTTGTAGCGTTTAAATTGTCTTTTTCAATAGAGATTAATGAAATATAAAAGTATTATCTGTTATTCTAATATATATATATATATATATATATATATATATATATATATATATATATACGAAAACTACAATCATCATCATCATCATCTCAGCCATCATCCGTCCATTGCTGGATATAGATCTCCCCCATAGGCTGCCATAAAGAACGGTCCTGAGCCACCTACATTCACTGACTTCCTGCAATGCATTTGAGGTCGTCACTTCATCTAGTGGGGGATTGTCTTACACTGCATTTGTCCGTGTCGTCACTCAAGAATTTTTCTTCCCCATCGGTTTTTTTTATACAACTTAGAATGGCAATCAAGCTGACGGCCCATCTGATGGAAAGTGGTAACCGTCGCCTATAGACATGAGCAGTACCATGGACATAACTGAGTATACTGCTTCGCCCATGATACCCCCCATGCGTTGCTATTTCTGAGGACTCAGGTGTTATTCCTCTGTACCTTGTAAATTAAGGCCATATCCTATCCTTCAAACTGAAACACAGCCATGCAAATACAACAGCTTCACGGTTGAAACACGAATAGGACAAAGGTACCCAAGCAAACGACATTTGTACAAAGTCTCCCTCTGGTAAACTCGGTTATCAGTTCTTTAAGTTGTGCGACCAGTCCATTATATATATAATTTTATTTATATATACTCTGTTACTAAGTATATATTTACTTGTAATTTATTATTTATCGTATTATTTTTGCACCGTATATGTTATGCTTTATATACAAACTCTGTAAACATTTTCACCCTTCGAGGTTACTGGAGAAACCTTTTTAAGGGATAAATC